TTTAGGTGATTTTTAACTTACTTGACCGTGATTCTTGGGGGACAACTTGGGTGGGGGGAGTAATTTTGGGGGCACCCTACCCCCACCCCACCATAGATAAGCTAATGGTGACAAGGGGTATCACAATTTCAGGTTGAGGCCAACGGGGTCCAAACCCTGGCGACTAAGGAAACTGGACAATTTTGCATCATTTTTATGATCTAAATTTTTGAACATAATTATAAGGATAAAATTCAAAGATATACTGTATATATATATATATATATATATATATGTAAAATAGAAGCAAATATGTAATCGAAGAACACTGTGCTCAAAAAGCAATTAAATTAGATAGTAATTTGACAATTAGACAAATGAATCAATTAGTCAATAATAAATTAGTCAAAGCTCAAATCTAAAAAAAAATATGTCAGCATGTTAAGAAAAAAAAAAGTATTTGTATTCAAATCTTAGTTAATACAATATACTTTTATAAATTTAAATAAGTAGATTAGACAAAATATATATTTACTGTACTAGAAAGATGAATTTAGAGACGACTGATGAATATGCATGATGTAAATTTCTTGCGACGTACTGTACTAAATATGGTATATGTTCATTAATTACAATTTATGCACGTTCCTGAATATGCATTTTATGCCAACATTTAAAAATTATTTAACTATAATTGTACTAACACCATTGAATGCATACGAATTAATTAGTCAATAATTAATCATATATATTCATCGTATTAACCATGAAATATAATAGTATGTAATCAGTTTGGCCTTTTATTATATTAACGTTGGCATGTATATCAAAATAATTTGTCATAATTTTAATTTTAAACACAAAACCCACTGATTATCACTTTCTCAACTTAGTCTGGAATGAAATCTCTATTATTATTTTATTGTTTAGAAATTAAAAAACAAATAAAAACATGACAATTAACAATGAAATAAGTTCACTTTTTGTTTATATTCACAAAAGTGATTATTTGTCCAACAAAGCTACTGAGATATATAGTTAAATTTTATAATTTCCCAAAGACCTAGTTTTGTATAATTACTATTGGAAAATATTGCTATACAATAGTGCTTCTTAACCAAATACTGCGCCACAGTTTGGGCATCTTCGCTGCCTCATGGCTAGGCAGCACAAGATACCAAGCGGAAAGAACAATATAGCACAGAGTACACCAAGAACGGTGAAGTCATCTTCCAGAACGCCTACACGACAGGCTGGGCAGCCTCCAACGACCACTACGTTGGTGGTATGCGTAACTGTGACTGGTTGGCGGTACGGCATGGGTTGGGGGTACACCACTCGCTGTGGAGCTGGCTGGTAACCTGGTGGTGCCCCAGATTGGTAACCTGATTACAAAAGAGAAGTGTCAATTATTAATAGCAAATATAAATAATATGTAATATTAAAAATCTGGGTATTAGTTGAAACATTAAATCAAGCAAATTATATGAATACAGGTATATCATTTTTTATATAGAGAACATACATTTTCTTCTTTTCTCATTAGCAAAGTTAAAACAATTATTATAATTAATATTCTGAATCGAGCATTGTATTATAAAATAATTCTAAATAAAAACCATCATAATTACTGTTACTACAGAACCATTGTAGGTGACATACAGTAAAAAATGCAGAGTGAACACGCAATGAGGAAGAAAAGGCATGCAGAGATAATGACGGAACATGGTCATGACAAACATTGTACACACCTCAGGATAGTAGAAATGCTGGTAGGAGACTAAAGCATTTCATAGTTAATGGACATGTTAGGTTAGGTTAATTTTAATTTTTGATTTAACACCGAGGGCCGCACCCAAACTTTAATGTTTCCAGTGTGCTTCCACAATCCTCTTGGAAGCACTACTTTTACACCATTTTATTCTCAGTTTTAATGTTACTTTTTACATATGATCGGCGTCAGGCCGTAAAAAACAAGGTGTTTCTAGCCAATGTTGCTTGGCAGGCTGCACACATAGGGTTTTTAATTTTCACAGGCCACAAAAAAATTGCTGTCTGGCCGCACTTTGCCCACCTGTGGGCTAAGCCTACCACTTGGATACTGTTGCTAAGGTCCTACCAAAGAGTAAAAACGTAAGATTGTGTTTACATTTCGCTTTCTTCTATAAAGCTTTGATTCAATGGCACTTCATCATTAGCTCCGACACTACAAAGCAAAATAATTCAAAACCAAATGGGATGCTGCCCCTTTCAGTAACTCTGTGCTCCCCTGTATTGTCCTATTTTGTCACCAGACGGTGCTACCTTTGGTTGTACATGCGAGACTAGTAGAAGGATCTTCACCTATTAAAGGTGAAAATCTTACAAGTTTTTCATGTGTATTAATTAAAACACGAAGATAATCTTTACATTAACATTAATAATTACATCACAAACTAACACAATCGAAGTAGATGTGTTAGTTCGTGAAATCTAGAAAGCGCGTCAAAATACACGCTGTTGTTGCTAACGACTTTTTGTGTAGTAAAGAATACAAAGTGCTTGACAACCAATACGCGCTCGTTTTGACGCGCTACTCTGATTTTGTGTTAGTTTGTGATGTGAGCAACAAATTTTTCAACCTTCTAATCAATGATATGTTTTGACCTAGGCTACTACTTGAATCTCATGAATGCAAGAAGTTTATCTCAGAAATGTAATAAAGTTGGATGTTCATATTCTTACTTGAATATCCTGGGGGAGGTCCGTAGCCTTGTGGCACACCGTTGGCTGGAGGTGGGGCTGCTCCATTATAAGCTGGGGGTTTGTCACCAGGTAGTGGTGGTGCTGACATCTTATGTAAATTGACACCAGCAACTGCTTTCTAAAATAGCACAACTTGGTAATTTATATTCAGTGTAACAGTAACACCCACTTGCTTCAACTAGACTGTTGTGCTTGACGTCTTTGAATTGTATTTCTGGAAAAGTTCAAAAATTTAAATAAATGTTTTTAAATACCCAATTGCATAATCAAAGTAAAACTTTTATAACACTTCAATCAAATTCATGTAAAACACATGATTCAGACAAGTAGGAAAACACCTTGAATAATGATGTTCATTATTTACTTGATGAAAACATTTTTTTGGGAGGCCAAGACATTTGAAACCAAGGGCCAAATAAATCTTCGGATGTCTCTTGGTACAGTATGCCAATCGTACCTTAGCATAATTGTTTTTGAGGATTCTTGTCTAAAATCAAAATAGTTAATATACTTGTGTACAGTATTCTTAAGTACACTGCCAGATGACTAAAACATAAACAAAATTGTTAAGAAATTCTGGTAAACAGCTCTTCACCATATGCCACCAAGTACAATGTAATGTGTTTGTATGTATTTTTAGCTCACTTAATGTCTTTTGCATGTCACAATATCTTGATTAAAGAACAAAATGATCAGTAAGTAGTGCTTCAAGTTAAATTTACACAGGCAGTTCTTTTTCTTTCCAGGATCAGCTCCTTGTAGACCAAAGTTAGTCATTTTGAGAAAAACATGTCTCACTGGGATTCACAATGAACTGTTTGGATGCTATGCCATTTGACTATGAGGTCAACCAAATACAATAATATCCATTTATTAGTTTTCAACAATAAATTGATAGTTGGTACAGTTTCTGGTTAAAACGGCAATAAACTAAAATGGCAAAAAACCAAAAACGGCAACATTTTTTGACCAGAATGGCAATGGACCAAAAAGGCAATAATCCAAAACGGCAATAGGCCTAATTTGTCATAGAGTAAAAAACGCGAAAGGATGACAACAACAATAATAATAATAATAATAATAATAATAATAATAATAATAATAACAACAACAACAACAAGAATAACAAGAATAACGATATAAAATAACATACAAATTCAATAATAAAAAGATTGGAGGAAACACAATATAAAAGCAGTACATTTAAATAAGCAAAATTATAAAATACAAATGAAATGAGGGCAAACAATTTATGTCATAAAACTTGTGAAAATGCGAAAAAATAAACCAATTATAAGTAAAGTACAATTATAAAGTCTACAACGATTAAATACGGTAAAGATGAAACATCAAATCAGAATTTGGAATAACTGGCGAAAAAATAGCCACTTTCATTTCATTTTACTCTAGTCTAACTAGGCGTAGGCGGCTTTACATAGGCCTAAAATATTGAGTAAGTCGACGTCAGGTGGGCACAGGTAAGCCAACAGAGACCCAGCTCCGGTACGTACGGTAATAAAATGTAGGCTAGGCCTAGGCTTTTACGCGAGCACGGAATTTACGCGAGCACGCACGCGCGCAAATATTCGATTATATATGAATTCTTATACGCTGTCCATATTAAGTGATGTTAATTATAAAATATAGTTGTAAACCCAATTAAGTGTGTGAAATTAATATGCAATGTACGTAACACATCTACTTTGCATGTGTTCATCGGGAAGATTATGAAACAAAATGGACGGTGTGTACCACGTGACTTTCGTAAACCAAGGTGCGGAATGTCGCAACTCTTGCTCTGGGCTCGGGGGCTGGGCTGCGTGTAAGGCTCGTGGGCGGGCCGCAACCAGGGCACCTTGGTGGGGAGGGGAAGATTCGTAGTATATCGACCCCATACTTCCCCTCCAAATCTAATCAAACCTTCCTTATAAAAACTTACAAAATGTAAACAAAAAATAATTTTGGGTGGGGGTAAGAGCATCCAATTTTGATGATCCCTCAAAGAGTCGAATATTTTGTAGTCCTATTCTTCTTAGTGGTTAAACAAACTGAAACTCCTAACATTTCATGTCTGAAGATGAAATAATGTGTGGGGTGGATTGAAACATCGGACAACTTCCTCCAATTAGGACCAAACTTGATGTTTGTGAACACTCCCACCGTCCCAGAATCATTTCACTAGGCCCAAGATGTTGAATTTAAACGGAATAAAGTAGGCCTAATCTGATTTAATTAAATTTACGTTTTGATAACGGTGCAGTTTAGTATTCAAAACGGGGGTGTTTTATTTATTTCATTTTATTATTCTTTTGTAGGAGGCCTACGCGTTCTAATGGAATTTTGACTAACGTTACTGCAACCATGTGTTTTGACATACAATGTTCGCGAATATGTTATAACGTCGTTTTTGTGTTTGTTGGGAAAACATTTGAAGATCTCGCAAAATTTTTCAACAATACATTGCCCGTCACTCATCCTTTCATGTGGATGCGTTAAAACTGTGCTGTTCCAGCACCTAATACAGAGAGGGAGACCACGAACTCATCATTTAAGCAGTGAGTTTGAATCAATTCCAAAGGCAAGCTTTCCTTCACTCGGACCCTCGGACTATTAAATAGTAGGCCTACCATTGCTTGGACTCAAAATGATTCAGATTGACACTGCCACAGATTGAAATTCACTGATTGAAAAGTCGGCTGTAGTTTTGCTGTTTACATTTTTTTCAATCTGGAAAGGTTAACAAAATAAACTCAAATGACGAGCCTACCAGTCGATTGCGAATTTCACAATAAAATGTTTTGACGATGTACAATTTAATGATTATATAGGCGTACAGATTATAAAAGAAAATAATCCGCGAGGCACTGCTACTAGCAGATGCCGCAAAGTAAAAGCGCTCTTCGAAAATCCACTTGGAAGTGTCAATATTGCGTTAATTATTAATTGCTGATTCACTGCAAACGAGTATATGTTCGACGTGTATATCAAAAATCAACACACCCTTCTATAGTCCAAGGTTCAATCGATGTTACAATAACGTTACGTATACATCGAAGTGAGTGAAGAGTCATTTCCACATTAACTGTGTTTCGAGATATTACGTATAAATACTAGACACTAACTCTGTTGTTAATATCTGTGTTCATTGATTTAAGAAGCTTAGGATGGCCGACCCAAATGCTCAACCACCACCGTATTCCCCACCCGACGCCGGCTGGTCCAAGTCAGGTAAGGATATTTAAAAATCAATTATTACACGATAGTACGAAAATGGCGTCTATAAAATTAATGATCAAAGGAGAGATAGCAGCTTTCAATCAAATGTCGCAAATGATTTTTTTTTTGCTCGAGTGGAATTTTTGTTTTCTGAATCTAAATAATTATGTTTTTAGGTCTTTAAATGTCTTGTGAAGAATGATGAACATCTACATGGACATTTCCTTGGTTTTGTCAACAAACAAAAAAATCCTACTGTTTAGCTAAGACGTACAGTAGGCCTAATAAATTGCTGGTGATGGAATATTTTTTTACACTATCAGATTCGCCTTTTCAGAAACAATCTCCATTACGCTGACGGTCCTGAAGTGTGTTTTTTTACGCCTCTTCAATTCAACTCTACAAAACATTTATTGATAAATACAGTACCGTATTGATATTATTAGAAATAACATTGTATTTTCTTTTTAATCGCGGTTTACAGACTTTCTTCTGACTCAATTCCCCGTTATTATTTTTCCATTTAGGCCTATATATTCAGAGATTTACAACGTGTTTTAAATGTACGGTTTTAATTAGTGCAAAGGTACATACACCATGTACTTACACTTAAACCCTAATCGCACAGTCCTCCACCATAGTTCTGGTTCTGATTCATAAAAATAACACCACCACCACCACCACCACCACCACCAACAACAACAATAATTAATATTAATATCAATGCATTATTAATAATAAAACGAATTTTATTGAACTTAATTCTTCATGCTGAATATTATTTACTGTTGTATTTTTTCACTAACTGACTTTTTTTTAATTTAATTTAATTTTTTTTAGTGGACCCCTTTAAGTCAGCATTTCTGTTAAAGTCACCCTCGTTAAATAAAGTTTAATACACTGTAAAAACAGCGTGGAGCATTTAAACACAAAGCTCCACGCAATGTTGTCCCGTTTTTGGTGACACGTTTAAAACCTAAACGTGTTTAGACATAGCTTAATGTATTTAGGATCTTGACGTGTTTAGCATTAAATGTGCTTAGGTATTTGACATCATGGTGTCAAATACCTAAGTACATTTAATGCTAAACACGTCAGAAACCTAAACACATTAGGCCTGTCCTAAACACGTTTAGCTTTTAAACGTGTCATCAAAAACGGAACACAACATTGCATGGAGCTTTGTGTTTAAATGCTCCACGCTGTTTTTACAGTGTAGATTTATGAATAATACAATTCCATATATTGGATAGACCATGTAGTGGGTACGGTGATCTATGAAATAGTTTTCATATTTGGCCTATAATAGGTTTGTATGCCTGGTTCTAAAATCTAATTTTTGAAAGTTAAAATATAAGTTTGAAAGGCAAATGGGAAAAACCCATAAAACAGAAAACGGCCATATAATGCAAAATAAGTTAAAATTAAAATTAAAACGGAACAGTAGAGAAAATCCGATCAGAATGAAAAAATAAACTAAGCATCCACTGGAAGGAATCCCAAAATCTGCAGACGGATCCGTTTCGGCAATATATAACAGCAGTAGAGAACTAAATATTATTGAGAAAATAGTAAGGTAATTCCCCAGCTGACCATATCAGTTATGTCTCGTGACCTAAATTTACTGAACAATAAAATTGTATACTGTTTGTTTGAGGTATTAAATTAGAACAGTAAAATATAACTAATGTACATGGAGGTGCCTCCTATTACAACAGTGACTACTAAATAGTGGTAATTGCAGGTAATTATTACGTAAATACTGCTTATGCCGCCCAAATGATGGTAATTTTGCTGATTTCAGATACGATATGTACCTATTAGCTGTATGGATATACAGTATAAAATTAGACGATCACTGTTCAATACTTGATCTTTGAACTGTCACGTCATGTATTGTAAACATACTTTGCCTATGCTCTACTAATTATTATCTTAGCAGGATATATTATAATTATGTGACGCAAGTAAAGTGTAATATAATATGATGTTAATATTAGGCCAATATGAGAAGAAGACGAATCAATACCTTGATTTGTTTATATATGCCACACATTGTATACATAAAATATTTATCATTTTAATAATATTTTCTGAACGTATCCTGATATAACCTAAACACGGAACTCAACTCAACTCATAATAATCTATTTATACACGGCTAAAACCCAAATTCAACATAAGATATAATATCAAAACATGATTATACAATGTTGTTCTTCCTTGAGTCCGTGGTTAATTAATAATGATATTAATAATAACAATTAATAATAATAAAAAATTTCATCGAAAGGAACTGACAGTCGCGCCAATGTGTCGCATGAGTTGAGTTCCTTTCAGTTCAGTGTCGACCTGAGCTTGCCTTTAGCTGGTTTCAACCGATTGTAGTAGCGGACTCAAGGGGGAAGCCG